ATATTAAAGGTTGAGGCAGCAGTGAGAGGGGACACAATACGACAAAGAACGAAATATAAGAAGAAAACATTTAAACTTGAGAAGCATAGAAAGATTATACTTTTACAAAAATACAATATAATACAAGATGGGAAAAGAAAATAAAGAAATTTTAATTATTAAATAGCAGAGAAAATCTATCTAAAGATATAATACTAGATGCACACACTATTAATTAGAATTAGAGAATTAGGGAATGAGGAAGGCTGTTATTAAAACATATAAAACAATTATCTATACATAGATACAACAGTAATTAAGAGAGTGAGTAGAAAAATGAAGAAGTAAAGAACATTTTAATAGTGATTTTGACAAAGCTACAGTGTAAATGATAGAGTGAGAGATAGTTGTCTTGATTTAAAACAAAGAACAGGTTTGAATATTCGAAAAGATTTAGGGGATGTTTGAATTTCACAAATAAAGAAACGAGAAATTGAAATATATAAGTGTATTGGAAGATATCAATGAAAGCACAGTCATCTTAGTGAATTTTATCAAACCTAGGCAATAGATCAATAACTTTCAACTTTAGATGAAAGTTCACTAGTTTTCCTGGTCCGCTTGACCAATTAATATCTTTCAATTAGTTAAGGTTTTTAATTGAGATAAAAAAGTCAATGTCACGAGCGGGATTCAAACCCACGACCTTCGGCTACATATGCCACTACTCTACCACCTGAGCTATCGTGACATAGTGATAGCTTACCGTAGAGTAGCGAAGGCTATCTAGCCGAAGGTCGTGGGTTCGAATCCCGCTCGTGACACTGACTTTTTTATCTCAACTAAAAACCTTAATTTATTTAGATGAAAGATTAGATTGGGAATGAAAACAATTTTAGCAGCTGGTATGAACAAAAAAAAAACGTAAATGATACGTACATAGGAAAAGATTATTATAAAAACTAGGCATTCTTAGTAAGCTTTAAAAATCAAGATAATTGATAAAGGTAATGGATAATGATTTTGATTGCTATCTAATTCCAGGCAACATAACTCATATCTATATATCCGTATAGATCCATAACGTGTGATATTAAAATAGGAATATATAATATTACGAAATAGTACATCTACAACACAGACAGAAAAAATAGACGTATCCGATAAATTTTACAATTTAAAGGATCAAAAGCAAGGCTAACGTCAAAAATGCCATGGGAACATGCAAGGGAGTGATTTTAACGGAAGGGGGTGAAATCGGGATTTGAAAATTGCCCACCCCCCCAGATCAATTTTTCACGGCTTTGTTTAATAGACTCCCACACGAGTACCAGCTATTATGAAGATGTCCCTTTCAGATAAAATCCGTTCCGGTGCCATGGGAATCGTTTTAAGGTGGTCGCTGGGGGAGGATCGGCCATTGTCGGACGGCCCAAACCGTAACGAATCTCTGCCTTGCGCCGACCGATTAATTTCCACTTCATCCAAAAATCAGTTCCACACTTTATTATTATGTCTCAATTCACTTTTATTGGGGCTGTCCCACATCCTGGGGATACGACGAGGCAATAAATGCTTTATTTGTTTTGTCAGGGTGGAGATATTTTAGGTAATAAACTTGTATTTACTATGGGATTAGTGCACTTTTATTTTATTATGCCTACTAATGTAACAATTTAAAAATAATATTATTTATATTTATATTAATATTATTATTTTTATTAATAAATAAAAGACAAAAAATATGAACCGCTGTGGCTCATTAGGGTAGTATTTGCTAGAAAAATACTAGGTTTGGCAAGGTTAACAGTCAAATTCCATATCTCACAATATTTTTCTAATACTTTTATGTCCCTCTGTAAATTTATCCACTAAGAACAACACATGATCAGCATATAGTAATGCTTTAACCTTAGTTCCTTCCTGAAACTCTTCAATTCAAATTTAAGCTCCAGTTTTATAATCTACGCAGAACACCAAATCAAAAACTTCAGGCTATCCATTTTTAGCAGATGAACTGGACTGTATGCTCCTCCGGCAGAAGGAATTTTCCATGCCGTAATGGTACGTATTTACTTGCTACATAGTAATAGTATTTGGCCCGGTAACAGTCTGGGTTCGAAAAACTACATACAACTTGAAATTCAATTTAGAATTTAAAAAAAACAATGTATGGTAAAACGGTTCCGCGACACCCAAGAGTGCTAGGACTAATCGTTAATCCGTGCTAAAAAAAAAAGAATTGTTTTATTTCATTTACTTTTAAAAATAAAAATATATAAGTGTAGTTAGTTGATTTTGGTTCATTTTGGTCTGATTTTTCTCACTGTGTTTGACTGTCCAAACAAAAGAGCAAGGATAGAGAGAGCAAAATGATCGGTAACGACCAGATTAATATATAATTGAAAAAATGATCTATCCTTTTATTCCATTAAGTTAACTAACTTTCTTTATAGGCACCTCGAATAAGACTAATAGTTCAAACCAAATTGTTTTAAAAAAATCAATAGATGGTCGAAATTACAGAAGAAGGATATTTAAACTACATAGACAGTTTGCATTCTAAGCTTGTACCAAAAGACAGATACAAGAGAAGTTAGATAGATCTAGAGATAGATCTTTTGAGACAGGAGAGAGAGAGAGAGAGAGAGAGAGTAGTGCGTTAAGGAACATACATAGAAAGATAGAAAAATAGAAGTGAGAAAGGCTAAGAGAGTGCAATAATTATATAAAAATTAAATATTTCAACAGAAATAAAAATATGGAAAAATCTTATTTTTTAGTCAATTAAGGTTTTTAGTTGAGATAAAAAAAGTCAGTCACGAGCGGGATTCGAACCCACGACCTTCGGCTCGATACGTCGCTCCTCTACCACTTGAGCTATCGTGCCTTCGATCCACTCGGACTTCAAAAGGTGGGGCTGAGATGGGAAGTTAGTGTCCGAGTAGATCGAGATCACGATAGCTCAAGTGGTCGAGTAGCGTCGTATTTAACCGAAGGTCGTGGGTTCGAATCCCGCTCGTGACACTGACTTTTTTATCTCAACTAAAAACCTTAATTAATTGAAAGATATTAATTGGTCAAGCGGACCACGAAAATTAGTGAACTTATTTTTTAGGTAAAGTCAATGAAACTATGAAGGCAGTTTGCATTCTAAGCTTGTACTAAATGATTTTGTTAATGGGTTTTTTGTTTCTGTAAATAATTCCCGATAATGGGCCAAGTATGTACCTCTGAGTAACATCCGACCTGTTGAACAAAATCGATAATTTTTTAACGTTTTGAAATATATTTAGTTTCGTTCTAATTAGCTCTAGAAAACGTATAATAAATATATCATTGCCAATATTACAATTGGCAAATACGCCCTAACGCTGAAGATGGCAAGAAACCGAAACGCGCCAGACAGTTCAACACAGAGGTGATAAACAGACCAAAATTATCGATAATAAATTGAGATTTTTAAATGAGATAAAAATGTCAGTGTCACGAGCGGGATTCGAACCCACGACCCTCGGCTAGATACGCCGCTGCTCTACCACCTGAGCTAACGTGACTTCAACTTTTTCATCTCAACTAAAAACCTCAATTTATTGACACATATTAAATGGTCAAGCAGACAACGAAAACTAGTGAATTATCGTTAATAATAACATAAAAAAATTATAGCTCTTGCCAGCATCATTAAATTAATAAACAAGTTGCATATATAGGGAAAGAGATATAAAGGGATATAAACTCACCATCCATTTAAGAAATTACACCTACGAATTGCATTAAAAACCACAAGATTACTTGGAAAACCCCTGAGACAAAACAAACCCATTAATGAAGGAAAATTAAAAAAAAATAAATATAAGGTTGGTTAAAAACAGAAGTAAATAAATTACGCAACTTCACACATAATCTACACAAAACTTTAAAATCAAGCCTGAAATTTTATCGTTTCCGTTCAGTTTGGTCTTCCTGCCGTGTTTCGGCATTTCTGCCATTTTCACTCTGCCTATGTGATTCGGTGAAATCAAATTTATATGATAATGATAAGTAGTGAAGTTAGAGAAATGAACTTAACAAAAAATGAAACAAATTTTCAGAATCAGAACACTTCCTATCGCCAAAAATAGGAAGGTTTATGTAAATAAATCACAGGAATAGGCCAAGTATGCAGCCCTGAATAACACCGCGAATAAATGCTGATTAATTTGCTAATTCATTTTTTTGACAGGCGCGGCAGATAATTAAGTATTAATTATGACTTATTATGAATAAGAATGGTCTTGAAGCATTGAAAAAGAAGAAAACATAAAAACAATTGAATAATTTCTAGACAAACATAACTGTCCATCTTAATTAACTAATAAAATAGCATTAACTGCATTTTTGCGTCATTTCATTGTTTATACGTTAATTAATTTTCCATTGGCAATTTATGATCGTTTTAATGCCTCCGGGAGAAGGCAGACGTACGACTATCGTAAACGGGCTTCGGTCCCATAATATTGAAGGGCGAATCTTGTTTATGGACTTATTGTGATAAACACCGACGTCAAAACATCAAACGCTCTTTGATAGCACTTTGCACTTTTTACTGCTTTATTGATTAGGTTCAATTTCGAAATATAACTTTTAGAATCGCCACTATGAACGTTCTCGCTCTGTTCATTTATTGACCTTTGTAAAATTGTTTGCAATAAAATAAGTCTGGAAAATAATTTATTAGAAAGAATAGAGCGTATTAAAAGGGATAAAGTATACTATATACTACCAAAAATTAATGGTTATGTCTTTTTTCCTAGGTCGTTCAATGTAATAATTCAACCATGATTTTCACATTTAAAAGTTCAAACAAAACAGATCAAATCATAGTTTTATTAGAATATTGTTTTTAATTGTTTATGTTGTATAATATAACTCTCACTGGAACCCATTTGAGTGTGTTGACCGATTCGCAGTGTTATCTCTTTCAATTTATATTTCTCTTGAAAATATCAAATTATTATGCTAATAAACATGCCACTTACCATGATTTCGCTTGTCGTCTGTTGGCTGGAAAGTTGGGGACAGATCAGTAAATGCTGACGACGCGGTCAACGCGGCCTTCGCCTTCTCGACGCTCTGTTTCAGCTGCTGAAATGTGCTCGGGTTGCAGAACCGGTACCACTCTGTCGTCGTTGATATTTCTTCCGATTTGATGGAGCAACGTTTCAATTCCAGCCCGCCCGAGTACGGGCAACTATCGTACATCCCGACTTCCAGACTCATAGAGCTGAAACAGTGTCACAGAACAAAATGATAAATCGAGATAGGTGAAACGTTCATTTCTCCATTGGATTATGATTCCGTCAAACATTGCCACAATGACATCCATTAACCGTAAATCCAGGTTCCTGTGAAATCAACGGCGAATTATTGTGGCCGATGCCGTTATTTAGCATAATTCATCATGCTTGCAACACCGGAAGCTTGCTAACAGTTTCTACAGGCCACTACAATTTATGGAAGATAATTCCTGTTATTAACATTGAATCTAAAACAGATTATTCATACGAATCCTCGCCTGTATACAATACACACGTGTTGTTTTTCCAATTTTTCTAATATGAGCATTTAAATATGCTCTTATCACGATTAAACAGTACATAAACTGCAATCCTAATAAAAAGATGATTTTTAAAAATCATCTTCCTGGCCTCGCTACATGAGGCTATCACGTCAGGCTAATTAAAATTTATATTATGTTCCCATTTTCCATGACATTTTAAATTGTGTATCATACAATTTAAATTGTGTCCTATACCATATAGGACAAGCTAACCGATTAGAAGAGCGGCTTAGTCTGCGGCAAAACTGATGTTAATGAAACTTTTTTTATGTAACTAGGTAAAAAAATAAATAGTAATAATAATCATAATAAAAGAATTTAAATGTAATTGTTTAAATCTTATTCACCTTCTCACGTCAAAAAGTATGCGCCCAAGCATTCCGAGGTGCCAAAATATGTTGCCTAATCTAAGTACATTTTTTAAAATATAGTTTTTTGTGTATGTATTTTATGGTTATTAAAAATCAGTACATTAGTATTTGTAGATAGAATAAAAAAATAATAAATATAATTTTATTAAATGAGATTCGTTAAATGAAAATTTGTAAAAACCAAAAGATGCTTAGTAGAAATGATGAATGGTGAAGTGAGCGCGGTGTTCAATCATTTTTAAAAAGATAGTTCCTACTCACGGTAAGTTGTTTAGGAAAGATCCGGATTTCGAGCCATTAGTTCATCATCAGTTTGAAGGAGCTTCTCATCAGCTTTTTATTGGAACGTCGCGTTGGAGGGGGTATCGGCAGGGTCATTTTTGCAATTCACGTCGAGAGACGTGGTTGTAGAACTCCTTCAACCTGATGATGAGCTAAGGGCTCGAAATCCCGATCGTTGCAAAACAACTTTGTGTGAGTAGGAACTATTTAAAAAAAAATGCTTCGAGAAAAGTTGGCAAAAAATATTTTTCAAGAGGCCTATGTGGATTCGTTTTAAGTACCATTAAATAGTAAATGTAACAAAATGAAACACATTTTTTGCTTCAGATGTCCGAAGTTCACTTAAAGAATCATATCTCTTCATGATTTTATCCAAATTCGACATTATTAGAGCTATTGGAAGATAAATATGTTTTCTTTTAGGCTCTGCCAATTATATTTATATTTCAGGCCATTATAATTAAAAAAATATAAATGAATTTAACAAAAACATCTCAAACCTTTTTTTGTTAGTTTAGGCCAGTACATTGGTCATCCCTAGCCCTACCTACCTTCGATCTCCTTTTCGTGTCTGCCACACATTTTAATCCGAGAATTTCCTTTCACCGTTAGTCCAATATATTGAATATAAAATAGCTCAAAAAATGAGGACGATAACCCTAATGACTTTTTCCATTGAGGATAAAATACCACAAATGCATATAAAACAGAAACAAGATGATTTGTCTAATTAGCATATAAACTACTTCATAATAATCGATCCTGGAGGTAATTAGGGTTAAGCCCCTCCATTCACGCTATTTAATTACATCTCAATTACTTCAATCATGTAACCTACCCCAGAATTCTCGATATTCTTCGATGTAACTGGGATGCGCCCCTTCAATCATGCTATTTAAATACATCCACTCCACGTCAATTTTTTTATTTTATATATCCAGTTTTAAATTATTTACAGGAGGTTTGAGCCATATTGAAAGTACATCAGTCTAAAGTTTCATGTAGTTCAGTTATCACCATTTGTATAACTTTCGAGAAAATTTGGAAGCATATATTAAATAAAACGCTTTTAAGGAAATATTTCTTTTTCCCAAAAATTTGTAACCTGGAGTTTTCTAGAGTTCGAAAAACGAACTTCAATTTTGTTTCTTGATTTAAAAAAAAATTCCGATCTACTTATAAATTATTTACTGTCAATAGTCACCGAAAATTTTTCACACTTTTACAAACCCCTTTCTTTGAAGATAATTGAAAAACCGTCAAATACGGGTACAACAAAGTCAGAAAAATAAATTTAATTTACTTAAAATAATTTTTTTCTCGGCTCGAAAGCGTGGGCAATATTTTGAGCCTAGTATTTCCAAAAAAAGTTGCATTAAAATCGGTGATCCCAGGTTCATAGCCTTACCAAAAAAGATGAAAAGCTTATTAGTATGTCAGGTTGAGATACAGCGGGTCTGTATTCGAACCCGGAACCTTTACCTTACAGAGATGAGGGCCGTGTCAAACCATTGCGGCCACCCATGCCTCCCAAGTCCATTATTTTTTTTTCTATTTCTGAATGAATTGACCTTCTCTATTCTCTTATTCCAGCGATTATATAATAAAGCAGGAGTCAGTTTTTATTTTTTTATTTTGCCAGTTATACTAACGGCATAGCTTTTCGTCAGTGGCGTAAACATACAAACATAGCTTCACATCATACGTTGTTTGTATGGATGCAGTAGCAAGGATTTTCGTAGGTATTTTATTAAAATAAGCAGAACTTGTTTCTCTTAAGTATAATTTTCTTACCCAATTTAAAGCGGGCTTCCTGGATTTTGCACAACTGGTAATATATTTGCCGCCTTAAATTTGGCCAACTTCTTGACCGTGGTAAAAAATGTTGACTTTTTTTGTGGACTTTAAGACAGCATTAGAAAGCATAAATGGAAGATCACTTACTCACTTACAACTAATTTTGTACTCTCAACAAAATCTTGAAAATCTTAAGCAGTGTTGTAGCAGTTAAAAGCAGGGAAGGACAAACTCTGATTTCTATAAAAATAAATGGTGCGACAAGGTTACGTTCTGAGCTTAATTTGCGTTTTCTTGAAAAGATCTGTCTGCAGTTTTAGAGTTAGGATTACACTGATAACAAATCTAAGTAAGATCAGACAACCAAGAAACTCTAAAGTAAAAGTAAAGCTTTAAAGTACTAGCACGTAAAAAGGTAACACCCAAAATAATCAGTGAATACATCCAAAATCTGTAAAAATATAACCTGAAAATACACCAGAAAACTCAAGACCTGCAAGATACATAGTCCATGAACCTATAACCTAACCTAGTTATAACAACATCAAATATTTTTCCATCTCTGAATCGGTCCACAAAAAAAGAAAAAAAATGAACTCCAGATGTACAGACAAACTTATGATTACCTCACTAAAAAAAATTGGCAGAACTGTAATGCAAATGATATTGCAATCGTTTTTAATAGCATTGCAAGTCATGGCAAATGCATCATAAAAAATTGGAAGAATTGTGCAAAAGGTTTGTATTGTGAGAGATTAGTTTATTGGCAGTAGATACATTTTAATTTAAAACAGGTATGTAAATCATGAATTTTAAAAGCACACTTTTTCTGTATAACATTTCCACTACAACTCTAGACTCCATATTTCTAGATTATGCTGATTTTTATATTTGGAAAACGACAGCCTGAAAACGGGACAGTGGCGATCTAATATCCGAATGGGACAATTGTAATTTCTGAAGAAAAAAGACAATTTTCCACTAGATGGATGAGGCCATAAAAAGGATGGGTGTGAGCTGACCCATAAACACCCCCTCCGTCGTCACCTTCACATCCCTCTGATATATGGTCCCATAAAAACGCCCTCTTCTAAATCGTTGTGTTTGCATCAAAGGATTCTGAGTATTCATCGAACATTTCCCACCATTTCTGTTTGAAAAAAGGATTATATAATTTCAAAAATAAAATTATCTTCAAAATTAAACAAATATCGCATGTTGGCGGATTCAGTAAATTATAGAGGGTGGTCTGCAAGTAAAATTTTCTGTGACAGCATATCTAAAGTGGAGCACAATGCCATAAATATCGTGGTTTTATCTCAATCCGTGGAAAAGTTACTTTTTCAAATTTAATCATACTTGCTTAATGGTCATAATTATTTCAATTAATTATTCTTTTTACTTAACGTTCTTGATTGAGATGAAAAGTTAGGGTCACGAGCGGGATTCGAACCAACGACATTTAAAATTTACTTATTTTAATTAATAAAATTTAATTTATTTAAGAAAGTGATTTTCTAAGTTGTGACTTGCATGCTTTTGTGTAGTGCGGATAAATAATTTTAATCAGTTCTTCATATTCGTCCATCTTTCACTACGTGACATGCTATGTCTATTTTTCCTTACTTCTCTACATTATTTCTTTGTTTCTCACTATCTCTCGCTCTCACTCTCTCAATCACTCCCGCCCTCCCTTCTACTCTCTCTCAAATAAGTATTTTCATGCCTACCTCTTCATTTAAATATGCTATTTTTTCTTGTTCTTATATTTGTAGGATGTAGATTCATAAAATGTACTACTATTACTTCTACATATTTTCTTTCCCTTTTTCTCTCTCGCTCTCACTGACTCTCTCACTCATTCACTCGCTCTCTCCCTTCTACCGTTTCTCTCTCTCTCTCTCTCTCTCTCTCTCTCTCTCTCTCTCTCTCTCTCTCTCTCTCGCCCTCTCCCTTCTACTCCCTCTCTCTTTCTCTCAAATAAGTATGTTCATGTCTACCTCTTTATTTTAATATCTATTTTTCTTTGTAGTTATATTTGTGTTTATAGGATGTAGATTCATAAAGTGTACTACTATTATTCTCCATATTTTCTTTCACTTTCTCTCTCTCTGTCTCTTTCTCCCTATCTCTCTCACTCTCTCTCTCTTCCTCTCGAATAAGTATTTTCATGTTTACCTCTTTATTTTAATATTATATTTTTCTTTGTTGTTA